TGCTGGCCTCAAATATGAATGGTTCAGACAAACGTCAGACACTTCTAGAAAAACTCCTCTTCAGGTTGAAAACTTTGATGACTCACACACAGTTATCACACATGGAGGCAGATACACCTGCAGAGGATGGAGAAGGGAACCAGAAGTCCTCACACCTGAAAGTGATCCAGTCACCATTCAGGAAACTGGTGAGTTTATTAATCTGCTTAATAAATTAATAAATGATGTTAGCCCAGTACCTCTTGAAAAAAAAAAAAATATCTTATCATGGTGAGAATGGACTATTTGTTTGACCTTCTTCAGTGTGTGTGCAGACACAATAGAGGAGTTATTGTTGATCCCTTCATGCTGTTCAGTTTTATTGATAAATATCTGTAATCAGATAAAACACATGATAGCTGAATGCAGTATTTGTGGACCCTCTTGACATTAAACACCATTCTGCTGAATATTTTACAGTAGCTGAGATGGATTGTCTTGTTTTATTCTAGTTTTTAAACAGGATGGATGGCTTCTATTATATTCTTATACATTATATTATATTATATATTCTCTATTGTTGTTTGCAGCTCCTTTTTGCCACTGTGGTATCATGCTAAAGACTGTAATACACCACCATGGTAGTGTCCCATTTCACTTGCTGTAATGAATATGCAACATCCGGTTACACTTTCAAAATAAAGCTTGCTTGCTTCAGGAAAAGAGTGTATCTGACCAAATCATTGTTTACATGGGACTCAAACAGCAGTCTCCTGGGGGAAAGTCCTGTGTGTTTGTTTGGATGTGGACTTGCTCTTTACACTACTGCTAGTACTGCGCCTTCATACACACGTTTACTTGTGGCACTGTTTTCCCTCATGGATCCATTCCGAAGGAAAAAGATATCCAATACAACTTCACCAGGAATTTGATGTGGCTGGGAACCAGTGTTGGGAGTAACGGCGTTATTTTTTTAAGTAACGGAGTAATCTAATTAATTACTTTTCCCATCGTTGCAACGCCGTTACCGTTACTGAGAACGTAAAGTGGCGCGTTACTTGCGTTACTATAAGTTGGTTGAATGAAGCGCAGCGGTGTCAGGCTTTCTGACAGACACACATCAGCTGCTGGGAGAGAGCAGGGTGGTGATGATGACACTGTTGCAAATGCGATGATGATTGGCTGGGTGGGCGGATGCCCTGCTCACGCTGTCTCACTGCACGCTGTCTCACTGCACGCTGTCTCACTGCACGCTGTCTCACTGCACGCTGTCTCACTGCACGCTGTCTAACTACTACTATAAACACAAGACAGAGACAATGGCGACGAGAAGGAAATTCAAAGGTAGCGATATCAAACTGGAAGTACCGACACTACTTCTCGCTTACTGAAGTTAAAGGCAAGAATGTTTATGTAACATGCACTATGCCCAGGAAAAAAAACTTTATCCACGTCTGCCTCAAGCAACTCAAATCTTATGAAGCACCTCACAGGAACACATGCTAACACGCCACTTGTTGCTGCTGCTAACCCAACCTCAAGCCCAGATGCAGCTAGCGTGAGCTCCAGTGAAGGAGACGGAGCCACTCCGTTAAAGGGACACTGTGTAGGAATTTCTCCCATCTAGCGGTGAAATGGTATTTTGCATTCAAACGAAAAGTGCTCTCTAGTGCCTCGCGTTTTCAAATGCGTATTGCAACTACGGTAGCCGTTATGTACCAAGAAGCCTACCTGTCGAGGAGAAAGCAGGCAACTTCAACCCCGATGTTTACCCTCGTTTTTTGAATTCGCCGGTCACAAACTAGCCTGCATGATAATATAGACATTAGACACTAGACTTACAACAGGGGATTATCACACTGACTGGGGTCAAACAGTGTATCTCTGTACTAAATGCATCCTAAAAGGCTGCTAGTATTTTGGTATTTTGGGAGACTGTTGTGACTCTCTGTGAGCTCTTTTATTCCTTCAAAAGCTGCTGCTATTAACACTGCTTGGCACTTGACTTTCTTTTAAATAACATTGTAGCTGTTTAGTAGTATTTATATTATTTTTTAAAGGTTGCTGCCGAATACAATGACATGCATCCACATAACTAACTATTATGGAATATTATATATTATAGTTCATTGTTTACATTTTACTTTTTTAGTTTTTAATCCTGTTTGTATCCTAACTGGACATTTCTGATGTCAACAGTTTCCAACAGGGCCAGTTTGACCCTTCAACCCAACTGGCCTCAGATATTCAGTGGTGAGAAAATCACTTTAAGATGTGAGATCGATGGAGGTGGAGACACTCAGTGGACGTATGAATGGAAACCAGACAAATTAAACATACCTCCAAGACACAGTGAATACAGGATTAACAGTGTTACTAGGTCCCACAGTGGAGAATACAGGTGTAAGGGTAGAAAGGACTCATATTCCTCAACAGAGTGGAGTAACGTCATCAGATTGAATGTATCACGTAAGTTGGACTGTTTGTTATTCACAATGAAAATGTCACTTTTTATGTTTTCTTTTTTTTTATTAAACAGCAGGAAACATTTCTCCCTCTGACAATAATGAAGTCTCTTGCAGGCAGTGCAGTAAAATAATATGTCAGAATTTGTTTTTTTGTGAAAGCAGAATAACTTTAGAATAACCAGCATACATTGTACTGTTGAATTATTATGATTTTTCACCAACTAGCTGCAGACCTTTTGCATGGGAACAAGGCATCACATGATCACCATAGCTATTCTGTGTCCACTGAAAAACTGCACTAATAATACATCAACAGTACCTAGTTAGTTATGTGGTAACTACTGTGTTATTGACAAAAGAGAGTCATGTATTGCATGTTAAGTTCGTAATGACTTAGTTATTGTTCAAAGAGTATGATTATAAGTCTTTAATGTCCATTACTGCCATTTACTTGTTTTGTTTTTTCTCTTAACTGAACAGCAAATAAACCTAAACCCACACTGACAGCACACAATGCCATCATACCAGTAGGGGGCACTGTGACACTGACCTGTTCTGTGAGGGGCTCTGCTGACTGGAAATACTACTGGTTCAAACGTACATCGGACTCTTCTGTAGCTCAGCCCATAAGGGATGGTGTACCAGACAGTATCAGTGTCTCACAAGGAGGTCTCTACCACTGCAGAGGAGGAAGAGGAGATCCACTGTTCTTCACAGAGAACAGCGATAAAGTCACCATTCAGGAAACTGGTGAGTTTAGTTATTTGTTCTGGAATAAAACAATATGCATTATTAAAATCTGTGATCAGTAGTGAAGAAAATACGTATTTTGGTACAGTAGGAAAAAAATAATGTAAATGAAACCACAAAAAACAAAACACTAGTTCAAAGTTTATCATTTTAAGCCCTTTATAATATTACTGCAATATTCCTATCATATCCATTCTGGACATAGAACATGTGGCACAGTTTAATAAGTGTACTACTTCAAAAACACTTTCTAGCATTTTATTTCTAATATCACTTCACAAAAGTATTATATTTATACATTAACTTATGATTTCTGTTGTATTTAAACCTCTTACACCAACTTTTGAGAGTCAGTGATATCAGAAGAAAATCTTTCCTCCATTCGCTGTTTTTTTGTATCTAGTGCAAATGATCTTTTTTTAAGTGAATAATCAGAAGAAAGGATTTTTATTTAATTTGTTGAGTTGAACAAAGTTACAGGGTTGCTGTTAATAAATTGTGCTGGAAACATAAATGTTATTGATGCCAAATCTCAACATATTTTTATTTGATCAAGAATTTTATCAACTTAAATTCTAATGGTTAATATAAAGGTGCTGACTTGTTTACAGACATTATTGAATTAGTGTTTTGGCAGACTGTTATGACCATCTGTAAGTTCTTTTATCCCTTCAGCAGCTGCTGCTATTAACACTGCTTCAAACTGTTTTATGGTTTTATATTTTTTTTACTGCAGAATAGAACAACATGTATTTACATACATCTTTAATATAAAGATTAAAGCAGAAATTGATTATCTTTTAGTTTTTAATTTTATTTATCCTGTTTGTATCCTAACTGGACATTTCTGATGGCAACAGTTTCCAACAGGGCCAGTTTGACCCTTCAACCCAACTGGCCTCAGATATTCAGGGGTGAGACGATCACTATAAGATGTGAGATCGATGGAGGTAGAGACAGTCATTGGACGTATGAATGGACAACAACCAGCTCAAACACACAGTCTCCAACACACAGTGAATACAGGATTATCAGTGCTACTGTGTCCAACAGTGGAGAATACAGGTGTAAGGGTAGAAAGGACTCATATTCCTCAACAGAGTGGAGTGAAGCCATCACATTGACTGTATCATGTAAGTTGGACTGTCTATCATCCATAATGACAATGTCATGTTTTAAATGTTTTTATTTAATAATTATAATAATATAATAATAATATAATTAATATTAATAATTTAATAAAAACAATAATAAAGTCTCCTAATGTTAGCTCAGTAAAGTTTTTTTTTTGCATGGGAACTGAAAAAGTATCTAGTAATCAAAGTATTCTCTTGAAATATAAATATTCACAGATAAATATACTCTAATGAACAAAGAATAATAAAGTTACTTATCAGGTAGAACAATGGTGCAGTTAGCACTGTTCCTCAACAGTAAGAAGTTTTTTTTTTTTTTTTTTTTTTTTTTTTTTTTTTTTTTTTTTTTTTTTTTTTTTTCCCCCAAAATTAAAAAAAAATTTTTTTAAAAACCTCAAAAGTAGCAGCAAATTATAAGACAACTAGCATTTTATATATTTATTTTATTTTGTAAATTCATAGAATTTCTAGGTTTGTGCAAAACAGGACTTGAGAAAAAGTCCGAATGGTATATCAACACATTGTTATGCTCGGCCTATGGGGGGAACATGAGCATACAATAAAAATGACTCCCCTCTTTCCCCACTCCCAAGGATAACCAGTGCTGCAGCAGATGCAGTCCAAACTGAATTTATTTATGTCAAATCAGGGTAGAACAGGTGTAGGGGAGAGCATGGCTAAAACAGTTAACAGAACCATATATCATTTTATGATACTTATCTAAAAGAAAACAAAAGAAAACACAGGCATCGTACTTCCTCCTTAACATAAACAGGTGAAAATAAATTAACAAAAAGGTTTTCTTACCCAAAGAGCTGTAAGGTCTGCTCTTTTACAAGATACTTCAGAGATTAGACACTTGGTAGCACGACACATTTTGGCACAGCACAGTTTGATTGAGAGTCAGGGAAAAGAGAGAATGAAGCCAGCATCAGCAAGTTCCATTTTAAAGTAACCACATTTGTTCTCCCGTCCAATCACCAGCCACAACCTGCAATTCAACAAACTGAGGAAAACACAGAACAGTGTGAAGAGCACCACCCTCAGACAGGAGGGAGAACAGCACAAACACTCACAATCACTCAAATACAAATATGACACAGAGTCATAACAACATGTTGAATCTTTAATCAAACAATCAAAACACAAAAAAAGATTTATCATGTTATTCACACAGATCACAAATGGCAGTGTCACATTTCACAAATGATTTCTGCTTGATGATACATTTGCAAGTCCCTATAGGGCTCACCAAACTATCATATTTGTTTTAATTGCTGCTTAAAAATTAGGAAAATATCTCATGTTGCAAAATGCTGCTTTCTTGTTGCAAATGTGGTGAATTGTGCTCCTGGTTAGTTACATTACAGATACAGACCAGAAACAGCAACAGGGCTCCTTTTCAAGAATTAACCTATTGTGTATCCAGTCTATAAATTAAAGGCATGTTAACATTTCTTACCTGTAGGGGCTGCTCTATTTACATTGGATTAAATCACAGTGACAGTAATTTCCTTTTTTATGTCTTTGTTCTAAATTAAACAGCACAGACACCAAAGGCCCAACTGAGAGCTGATGACACAGACATTCCTGTAGGGGGCAGTGTGACCCTGACCTGCTCTGTGAACCCATCATCATCTGGTTGGAAATACTTCTGGTACAGAGGAAAGAAAACCTCTGAACCTCTGACCACACCAGATGTTGTCTTCCTCTCAACTGGACAAATCAGAGTCTCACAGGGAGGACTCTACTGGTGCAGAGGAGGAAGAGGAGACCCAGTTTACTACACAGACTACAGGGATCCAATCAGTATCAACACAATTAGTGAGTCTGGAATTTGTTTTTGAAACAGACAATTAAAAATCGTTGTATGTATAATTAATTATTTGATGGACAAATAGGCAGAAAACATTGTTATGTGTAGAATGATGTTTTATCATTTTTGTGTCTTTCCTGACTGAACAGCTGCAAACAAGGCTGTTGTGACTCTGCAACCAAACTGGCCTGAAATATACAGAGGAGAGAAGATCAAACTCAGATGTGAGATCAATGGACGGAGGAGACACTGAGTGGACGTATGAATGGGAACCAACCAGCTCAAGAACACAGTCTTCAAATCAAAATGAACACAGGATTATCGGTTTGCTACTGTATCCCACAGTGGAGAGTACAGGTGTAAGGGCAGAATGAAACATGATCAACAGTCTTCAACAGATTGGAGTGATCCCATCAAACTGACAGTATTTGACAGTAAGTCTCATCATATTTATTTTAATATTATACAGTTCACTAAATGGCTGTTTGGTTGATATGTGTTTTAAGTAAAGTTAATCTTCAAGTTTGTATGTACTGATTGTACAGGATGCATTTGATCCACTATTGATACATGTTTACATTCTGAAAAATCACTTTCCAACAGAACCTCAGCCTGTCCTCACTGTGTCTCCATTATGGCTGAGTCCTGGAGACTCTGTAACTCTGAACTGTGAGGTTGAACATCCATCTGCAGGATGGAGGTTCTTCTGGTATAAGGCTGTTCCTGATCTATCATCCTACTATAGCTCTGAGCTGCTACCTGGCAGCAGCAATGGGACTGAACAGGATTCCTACATCGTACATGGACAGACACACACAGCAGGATATAAGTGCAGAGCTGGAAGAGGAGATCCAGTGTATTACACTGATTATAGTGAACACAAGATTGTCTGGTCTGGAGGTCAGTGTGTTTCTGTCTGTCCTCTCAAGAAGCAGATGTTATGTCATCTATTTTCTGTCTGTGACCAACATAGGGCTGCTCGATTATGGAAAAAATCATAATCACGATTATTTGGGTCAAAATTGAAATCACGATTATTCAAACGATTATTTTTTTAAACTTCAGAAACATGCTGCATTTAGTGGACATTTGTCAAAAACACTTTTCAAGGAAGTCCTCAGTTCCACTTTCCTTTCCTCATAAACATTTGTAAGTCTCCGCGTTACCTGTTCAAACGAAAACAACGTGACAGGAGAAGACTGCAACTAGTGTCGCGACCACCGGCGCAAGTATAAATAGTTAAGGCACTCCCGTGACTTCACATTGTGTCGCGACAGGTCGGGAACGGCGAGTATACCAAGCGCATGACGCATGTGCAGTGCATGCGGTGGGGGAGGGACGGAAATACGCATGCGCGAAATACGCAGCCCCTGAATTGGGACACAGCTTTTTTCTATACAATGTTTCACAACAGAAATAATAAAGTAGCTATATTGAAAACTAACACCTATGTTAACAAATAATTGGTGTGTACATTGAGACATCCGTAGGGTGGCCATTTCCTTCACATCAAAAAGGAGGACACTTTGGGTCCGTGTATGTTTTGGTCATTGGATTTTCCTTTTAGAAACGGGTATTAGCAAACAGAAAACGAGAGTGGTTGTTTGATTTTCGTTTTAAAATACAAAAATTAAAATTGAAATACAAGGCGTTTTTCTTTTTCATGGTCAGAAAGGGATGAGCAAAATTAAAAAAAATATTCGATTTTCATTTTCTATTTCATTTAACAAAAAATAAAATCACTAGAAAACAGAAACGGAAAAAAGGCCTGTTCTTTCATATTCTGAGACCGGATGTTGTCATTTACAGGACGGTGCTGTGGAGAAGAAACAGTAGGCTAGTAGACTGCGGTCAATCCAGTCGTGAGTCCGATCTCCGTGGTCAAATCAGCCGCACTTAAATTTAGAGTGTACAAGTATTCTCAGCATTATGGTAAAAGCAATGGAAATTCAACAATAAAAGTCCATATTTGTACCTCCAAGTGGTAATTTCATATATTTGAGCTACTGTAAAAACACTTTGCTCAATAATTCCTGGCTTTGGATGGTATTTTGACTACTACACATCTAAGACTTCAAGTATACTTAATATCAAGCATTTTTACTGTACCAATGTGGAGAAATTGAAGAATAAAAGTCCCATATTTATACTTCCAGATTCCATATTTTCTTATATTTGAGCTACTGTAAAAACATATTGCTCAACATTTCCAGGCTATGGGTGAAGCATTTTCATTATACTTCAATAATGCTGCAGTAATCATGACAAAATTTCACACAAATGTTTAATAACATCTTGATAATATAAACACTAAACACTAAACACAAAATCCTACACAATTCTAATTTGTTTACTTTTTACACAAAATGCAAAGCCAGTCCACATTCTTCTTATTTTGCTGCTCTGCTGTGTCCATTTGTTGGTAAAAGGGAAAAATAATTAGTTTTAACTTCAAAACACCATTGTACCTACTGTCTCTTCCTCACATATTATTTTTTATATTATTCAGTGTGACAGCTGTTGCAGGTGGTTCCACATACAGTTTACATTTTTACAGTAGCTCAAATATAAGAAAATATGGAATCTGGAAGTATAAATATGGGACTTTTATTTTTCAATTTTTCCACATTGGTACAGTAAAAATGCTTGATATTAAGTATAGCTACTTGTAGTCTTAGATGTGTAGAAGTCAAATATATCATCCATAGCCAGGAATTATTGAGCAAAGTGTTTTTACAGTAGCTCAAATATATGAAATTACCACATGGAGGTACAAATATGGACTTTTATTGTTGAATTTCCATTGCATTTACCATAATGCTGAGAATACTTGTACACTCTAAATTTAAGTGCGGCTGATTTGACCACGGAGATCGGACTCACGGCTGGATTGACCACAGTCTACTAGCCTACTGTTTCTTCTACACAGCACCGTCCTGTAAATGACAACATCCGGTCTCAGAATATGAAACAACAGGCCTTTTTTCTGTTTCTGTTTTCTAGTGATTTTCTTTTTTGTTATATGAAATAGAAAATGAAAATCGAATCATTTTTTAAATTTCGCTCATCCCCCTTTGACCATGAAAAAGAAAAACGCCTTGTATTTCAATTTTAAATTTTTGTATTTTAAAACGAAAATCAAATAACCACTCGTTTTCTGTTTTTTAATGCCCGTTTCTGAAAGAAAAATCCAATGACCAAAACATACACGGACCTTTATGCCTCCAGAGATTGCATATTTGACCATATTTGAGGTACTGTAAAAACATATTGCTCAGTGTTTCCTGGCTACTGATGGTATATTTGACTTTTACACATATGAGACTACAAACATACTTAATATCAAGCATTTTTACTGTACAAATTTGGAGAAATTCAACAATAAAAGTCCCATATTTGTACCTCCATGTGGCATATTTTCATATATTTGAGCTACTGTAAAAACACTTTGCTCAATAATTCCTGGCTATGGATGGTATATTTGACTACTACACATCTAAGACTTCAAGTATACTTAATATCAAGCATTTTTACTGTACCAATTTGGAGAAATTGAAGAATAAAAGTCCCATATTTATACTTCCAGATTCCATATTTTCTTATATTTGAGCTACTGTAAAAATGTGAACTGTATGAGGAATGACCTGCAACAGCTGTCACACTGAATAATATAAAAAATAATATGTGAGGAAGAGACAGTAGGTACAATGGTGTTTTGAAGTTAAAACTAATAATTTTTCCCTTTTACCTACAAATGGACACAGCAGAGCAGCAAAATAAGAAGAATGTGGACTGGCATTGCATTTTGTGTGAAAAGTAAACAAATTAGAATTGTGTAGGATTTTGTGTTTAGTGTTTAGTGTTTATATTATCAAGATGTTATTAAACATTTGTGTGAAATTTTGTCATGATTACTGCAGCATTATTGAAGTATAATGAAAATGCTTCACCCATAGCCTGGAAATGTTGAGCAATATGTTTTTACAGTAGCTCAAAAATATAAGAAAATATGGAATCTGGAAGTATAAATATGGGACTTTTATTCTTCAATTTCTCCAAATTGGTACAGTAAAAATGCTTGATATTAAGTATACTTGTAGTCTTAGATGTGTAGAAGTCAAATGTATCATCCATAGCCAGGAATTATTGAGCAAAGTGTTTTTACAGTAGCTCAAATATATGAAAATACCACTTGGAGGTACAAATATGGGACTTTTATTGTTGAATTTCTCCAAATTTGTACAGTAAAAAAATGCTTGATATTAAGTATGTTTGTAGTCTCATATGTGTAAAAGTCAAATATACCATCAGTAGCCAGGAAACACTGAGCAATATGTTTTTACAGTACCTCAAATATGGTCAAATATGCAATCTCTGGAGGCATAAATATGAGACTTTTATTTTGGCATTTCTCCACACTGGTGCAGTAAAGAGACTTGATATAAAGTGTTTTTATTCATCAGGGGCGCATGAAACACTTTAATGTAACATATTTTAATTATAGCTTACTGTTCAAAATACCTTTTATTTTGAAAACCAGAAGTAAATACGCTGTTTCTCCGCATTTACCATAATGCTGAGAATACTTGTACACTCGAAATTTAAGTGCGGCTGATTTGACCACGGGGATCGGACTCACGGCTGGATTGACCGCAGTCTACTAGCCTACTGTTTCTTCTACACAGCACCGTCCTGTAAATGACAACATCCGGTCTCAGAATATGAAACAACAGGCCTTTTTTCTGTTTCTGTTTTCTAGTGATTTTATTTTTTGTTATATGAAATAGAAAATGAAAATCTAATCATTTTTTAAATTTCGCTCATCCCTTTTTGACCATGAAAAAGAAAAACGCCTTGTATTTCAATTTTATTTTTTGTATTTTAAAACGAAAATCAAATAACCACTCGTTTTCTGTTTTTTAATACCCGTTTCTGAAAGGAAAATCCAATGACCAAAACATACACGGACCCACTTTGCATACACGGGGACACGCAAGCAGATATTTGTTTGGTATGATCCGGTTTTAAATGTTAATGTTTTTCCACCAGATTACATAAAGGTGCATACACATACCACATAGCTAATAATAAATATACAAGATACAGCTCATGACAACGTGCCCTTCCAATTCAGATTACATAGGTCTAATAAACATCATACAGAAACTGTTCTTAATGTTCTTATCTGGATAGATAAAGGGGAAAACAAATACAGCACCTTCTGTTTCAGATGTATAGGATTTGCCTATCTACATATGAGTGTGAGCATTTTCAGTATTTCAGTCCAACAACCGACGTTAGCTCACGTTATGTTCTCTGTCTGAGAGCTTGATTGACAGCCTGGAGGTAACCTAGCAACTGCGGTGATCGTGGTGAATCAACACATGGCTCATTTGAATATTTAAATTAGCCATGTGTTGATAGGTCACCACACGAAAATGTAACCAATGAAATTACTTATTTTGACACAGATTTTTAGCCAATAAGTATTAAACTAACGAGGTAATGTGTCAAAAGGCGACATTGTTAGTTATTTTCTCAAAAGGAGGACAAATGAGTCACTGAAACTTAACTCGTCTTTGCAATGAGTCAACAAGCAGTTAAAAAAGTTAAACAATATGCTGGACATTTGAGAATACTCTGACTAATAAAAGGAAAACACTGAGTGTGTATAGAGACAATGCAGCAACATGAATCCCCCTGTATCTTTGAAAGATGGCAAGTAAAAGTAGAACATTTATCATTTAAAATGTAATCAAATAGTAGCTGGTTTTCAAGATGGAAATCATAGTTTCACCAAAATCACTGCACTGTGTTGCAATGTTTGCATTAATCCTCAACAATAAACTATAATAGCAAATTAATATTTTGACATTAAAACCTCTGTGCTCTGTTTGATCCATTATTACATGTTGTTTTTCAGATTTTCATCCATCAGCGTCTCTCACAGTGAGTCCTGACAGAGTGCAACACTTCACCTCTGACTCTGTCTCAGTGAACTGTGAGGGAAACTCTACTGAGTGGAGAGTGAGGAGGTTTCCTGAGAACAGCTACTGGTCACACTGCTCCTCCTGGGGGACAATGACTGGATCCACATGCAACATAGACAGTTACTGGCAGAGTGATGCAGTGTACTGGTGTGAGTCTGGATCAGGAGAGTTCAGCAACGCCGTCAACATCACTATACATGGTATGGTTTCATTACATTGTCTTATAAATGATTTTAAACATCCCATTATGTGTTTCAACATATATTAGAATTATGTTGTGTACAACATCTACATTACATTACAAAAAGTTCAATATCCATGTCATTGAATTGTTGTTCCTAAAGATTATTTTACAAATAAATGTAGCCCTCCTACTCAATTCTAATTTGTAACAAAATGTTTACCTTGATTACCTTTAAACAATTTAGCATGGGAGGTGAATTGGTAGGAGCCTACTAAATATGACATTTCTCTGCATTTACTTCGACTAGATAATCTGATCCGAGAGGCCAAGTTCAGTTAACTCCCATACATACTTTTTAATAACCACCTTCCTTTTCAGTACATAAAAACACACAATGATTTGCAATATGAATAATTAGTACACACACAGCTTCAATGCAAAAAAATAGGGGAACATTTATTCAACATGACCCAAATAAAATGTAAATAAAATAAAGAAAATACCCGGGGTTTTTACTTTGTTCAGTTTATGGTACCATGAATGCTGGCGCGCAGTTGGAGCTCATATGAAGATCTTTTTGATTATACTCACACTGGATAGAAACGTTGTTTGTTTAGTTCAAAACCTCTGTCCACTGGCAGCTGATGAAAGTTGTGCTCCTCCATAGCAACGACTAATGCTCGTCCTAGCAACAGTCCACACGAGGCACTTGTCTTCTTCGTCCTCTTAGCAGAGTCCAGACTCATAAACACCCTCAGCGTTTTTAATTCAAGAAATAAAGTAACTTTAACACTATTTTATAAACTTATGAACAGCACAGTGTTTCTCCGTCTCTCTCTTTAATCCCGCCCTCTCAGAATCCGGTAGTTTACCCCATACTCATCCCTAATAGACCCTGATTGGACAAATGACAGATTGACACCTGAATACTCAAATAAACAACAAAACATATGGCAGGAGGCGTTCAAGGACTGCTCAGAACTTCTAAAAAACATAGCAAATATACATTTCCCTGTATTAAACACAACTGATCTCACATCAGTAGTAATTTATATATTTGTTAACTAAAACCCTCATAAAAGAAACAAAATGTAACCAAAAGTAGCAGGGTACTACACAAATAATATGCAATAAAGTATACAATCAAAAGTTCTCAGTACAGCAGTATAATTCAATCAGGTGCTGGTCAAACACAGATAATGCCAAAGAATCATCTTTGAATATGTTACCTACTGCCACCACCAAAACAATTCTATTAATAATTATTGAATTAATTAATAAACATAGTTAAATATTTTTATTGTGATTTAACCATGTACATCAGCACAGTCTAAGCTTTTATCTCATTCTGTTTCCACAGAGAGCACAGTCACACATCTCTCCTACAGAGACTGAAAACCATTTCATCATCTTATTATGATGAGGATTGGATGTAGTATACAGTAGATTTATGTAGCTTTATGGGTTTTCAGTGTAGTTTGTAGGACCTTGTAGACGCCTGCTGTTTATTTGGTAAAATTATACTTTACAGACACATAAGTTGTATGTACAAAAGATAAAACATCAGACTTTATGATCACTCTGTAAAATATATCAGTGATGTGTGAATTCAACTAGCTGATCTGACTGAAACCTCATATTCTTTGACTGTTTTACAGAAACAGATATAATCCTGGTGAGCCCTGTCCATCCTGTGACTGAGGGAGATTCTGTTAGTCTGAGCTGCAGATTGAGAAAAAAAAAATTTAAGTCCAATGTGTTTTTCTATCTAAATGAGAAACTGATTCAAAATGATACCAGAAGGGAGCTGAATATCTCTGCAGTGTCAAAGTCAGATGAGGGTTTCTACAAGTGTGAATACTCACAACAAGTGTCAGCACAGAGTTGGATGTCAGTTAATGGTGAGTAGGATTGAAACATTTTCTGCATTTTCTTTCATGTAAACTGTGTTTCTGTCTGAGAAAGAAACTTAGAGGCAAATACTGAGTTGAATTTGAAATAGCTTTAGTTTTTTAACCTGTCGCATTAAGTAGAAAATACTGTTTCCTTCTGAGCTCAAGAAAGCATCTGTATCAGTGATTGTGATAGTCATGATAGTAATCATTTTATTCTAAATGTTTACTTGTGTATTAAAGTGTGTAATCGTTTGGCCGAGATAATCGGCATCGGCCAAAAATGTCTTCAGACACGTCTGCAGGCAGCCTTATCAGTGTGCCTGCTGGGGAACGACATTAGCACTCTCCCTTTTAGTCAAGGTGGTGACAAAGTTAGTTTTGAACCCCACACTTTAACTCGGTTATAGTTATATATAGTTATATAGTGCTGTAAACGTATGCTTGAATTTCCTGTAGAATCCAATTATACATGACTTTTCTTTGTTTTGATATCAGCATCCTATATTGGCCATCGGCAGCCCTGCTCTCTAAATATCGGCATCGGCCATTAATTAACCATATCGGTCAACCACTATTCCTTTGGAACAGGATTTTTTGTGTGTGTTCGTGCATTTGTGTTGTTTATACCTATAAATTTGTAAATGTATTATTATGTTTTGTTTTAGGGCTTGATGTGACATGACTCTCATCTTTATTAAAGCACTACATTCAGTGTCAGAAAAGTGCTATACAACTTTATTAACAGTTATTATTCATTATTATAGCAGTGTCCAGGCCTGAAAGCTCTTCCTCTCCTGTACCGTTGATTGTTGGGCTGGTTTGTGGAATCATACTCATCATTCTTCTGCTCCTGTTGTATCGCTACGGACCATCCAAAGGTGAGAACTTCTTCTACTGTTTTTATTATTCAAACACACACGTATATAATAATAGAACTGTAACAACTCACAATACAAAACCATGTAACAACAAATGTCTTTTCTTCACAGGTTCATGGTTTATCAGGTTGGTTGAACACTCTCTTCTCTTATTTTGAACATAACAACAATACATTACATGTTCTAATTTATATGTGTTGTATTTGCTTCATGTTGTAGGTCAAACCAGTCTGAGAGCATCAATCAGGACTCTAACACAAATCATGTGGTCAACCAGAATGAAGCTCAACGTAATGACTACTCCACTCTTCTCCATGGTTAGCATTTAAACTAATCTTGGTTTTATATGTATATATTCACACATTTTAAAGACACATTTTAAATAAGGATCTTTAAATAGTATCAAAAGTTTAATGAGATTACTTTGACCTTTGCTTGATGTTCACTGCTCTGTAGGTGATGCTCCTCTGTATGAATCAATCAAAGGCCATGAGGACATTGGAAACGGTACAGTTCATCCCCACACAATGTAAAAATAACACGATCAAATTTAAGTGTGTTCTGAAAATAAATAAATTTAGCTTCAAGTTGTAAGTTTTAAAACTAGATGAAATTACTTAAAATAATATTAGTAATATTCTTGTTTCTAGATAATGTTCAGAGCTTTTACCAAACAGGTCTTGAACCTGCAATCTATACATTTGGAGATATGTGCTAACTATCGTGACTTTGGTGACCCACTGTCTTTTCCTCTAGCACCACCAGCAGGTCAAAATTTAAATGTATCCAGCATTGGGGTTTATGACATTCACATCAGCGGTTGCTGTACTTTGTGTTAAAGCTCTGTTGTACCTGCAGCCTCACAGGTCTGCTAGCATTGCTGTAGACTCCTGTTTATTAACAGTGAACATTGTGAAAATATCACCTCTGATGACACATTTGACCAGTAATGATGGAGTTACTTTAAAGTCAGTTCTGTTTCATGAAGTTACTACATCATCTTGTTACATACATCGTATGTTGTATAGTCTGTCCTATTCTTGTTTATATTACTTTCATCATCAGAGAATGTTGTTGGGTCTGATGATTATTCTGAGATTAGACGTTTAGACTATAAAGGTTTTGCTGTGGCAGAACAACTGCGTGATTTAAAGGGACTGATTGTGAATGATTGACATAAAATCTTGTAATTAAAAATATGTAGCTTCTATTTCAGATGCAGGTGGATCCCAGGATGTCACTTATTCTTTGATTGAACTTAAAAACTTTGGAAAGAAGAGTGAGTAGGCCTTCTTTAAATACCTACCATAAATTAAAAATAGATTAGCGTTGTCTTAAACTGCAGTATCTAAAGAACAATGTTTTATTCTTTTTGGATTAATCTGATTATTTTAACAGGGAAGCATAAGAAACCAGAGGAGAGCGCTATTTACTCTGATGTGAAAACAGCAACTGCAGGTACAGTCAGTTCCAACCATTATGCTCAGAATCTGTATTGAAATGTGTCGTATCGTTACACAGGAGGTCATTATGGGTCAGCATGCAGTTCAATCAGTCACCTTGGGTAAATACTACAAACTACCACTCTGCATCACCAGAGTTGTCAATTCTCACACATATTTGGGAACCTTTTAGACTTCTGGGTATTTCGTTATTTGTTTCATGGACAGTATGTGTAATTTGTTTCAAATTGTCTTCCATATCACAGATTTGGCACAAAACTGAAAACAAAAATAACACATTAGCTAAAGTGACAGTGTGGTGATGACAACTAAAGAGGTTATATTTTGATGCTACTGTACTGTCATGAAAAAGTACAAGGGAATCCCAAATACATTTCCTTTAATTTAAATCTACCTGTCAATCAATCCATTCATCCATCCAGCTGCACAGTACTGTATGTGTCTGCTGAGCAAACAAATCCTGAGATCTGACTTCTGTTTTAGACGACAATCTGATGTATGTTCAAGTCAACTACCAGAATACAGGCAAAGCCAAGAGAAACAAAGGTAGGTAAAGTCTGCATTCACCTGCAGTTGTTATCATCCAACAAGTTGGTGTTGGACACAGTGCAATTTACTGTCTGTATGTAATGTGTTCGATATGTTTAAAATGGTAGCTGTTTGTTATTACTTATTGTATTCATTCCTCATATTTCTTGCATCTTTAGTAATGTATTTTTATTATACATTTTATACATTGAGAGTACATCAGTAAATTATGTAAAAGCTATAATATTCTGCTATGTGCTGGCAGTACTGTCATTCAGTATACCTGTCAGTTCAGCTCATTATCTTTATTAATTATGACATTACTGGCAGTTGTTTAAAACTAAACATCCCTCCATTCACAGGAAAATCACCTCCTGCAGCAACTGCTGACGCTGTTTATTCTGAAGTTAAACCAGGAACAGCTCTTGGTAATAATGCTGCCGTCTGATGTACTTACTGTAATGACTTATTCTACAGATAATTAAATGGGTGGAAGCCAGAATAACATGTCAGAAAAGCATCCTTATGTCTTTGATAACCATATATCTTTGTCTGTAAAGAGAGCCAGCTATCGAAATTTCAGACATGTTCAGTATTTTGTACAGTTAATTTCTTAGCGGATAATATAAAATAATTACATCATATGGATTTAGTTACTACTTTAAGCACAAAGCATACGCATTTAGATGTTTTACAGTTATGTATAAAGTTTTTGTGGGAAACAGAATGCAAGCTGTTCCAACAGTTTTATCTAGTATATTTAACCTTTAGTATCCAGGTGATAGTGCAGCTTTTAGTCAGCATCTTCTTTAGTGTTTATGAGAAAGATCGACAATGGACATCAACACTTATTTATGTAATTATCTGTGTTGGACAATATATCTTCACATCTCTGCCCATTTTTGGATGAGCCGGGAGCCGGTGGAGTCAGGACTGCCAAAGCCGACCTCAATGAGCTTCACAACGGCTCTTCAGAAACCTATGGGTGACGTCACAGAGACTATGTGACTGCTATTTTTAATTATACAATCTATAGTTTT